TAATCTTTCAAGTGCCCTGTAATGTCTGTTGCTGGTGCTGAGAATAAGCATTTGGAGCTGGGTGTGCCAGTCGATAAGGCACTGGGCCTTCTAGTGTGTCCCACACCGAGCCGTCCTTGACCCTGGACATACGTACCAGTGGTAGCAGTTTGCCCTGCTTGGTACCAGAAGGCCAGTGTTCTATTTTTTTGCAATTCCTGGAATCGCGTCCCTTGGGGACATTAAAGCAGCAGCCCCCCAAAACTGGATGCTGTAAGAAATTAAAGGTGCGCGACTGGTGGTGGCCTCTGGCAGGTGGCAAGGTTGCCATGGGATGACACTGGGCAGGTTCCCCACCATGACACCTCCTTCCTAGCTAGTCACCTGTTCGCCAGACCCCACACCCAAGGCGTGTGTCGCAGAATCACCCTGCCTCCTTCACGCCACTGGCTGCTACTTCCTTGCTTGCAGCCTCACGGTGCAGAGACCCGGAATCAGCACTGGCCTCCCGCATTAGAATGAGTGGGATGGAAGCTACTGGGAGAGGCGACACGGAGCTGTATTTACATCAGCAGGAAAGCAGATCTGTGCGGCTGGCGGGACGCCACATGCTCTCTGAGTGCCGTCTATTGTGCAGTTTTGCTGGGTGTGGACAAACCCACGGGGTGATGACTCTCCTCCCCACACCCCCCTGCCCCTGGCCAGTCTCCACATACATCGGTGCTTGTTTTGGCAATTAACTGCAGCACTCAGATTAATAATCATAATAATCATAAAAAATCTTGGCCTTCCTCTCACTCCCCATCCAGGAAATTAGGCCCGAACTGACAAGCCTGTTGAAAGGAAGCGTGGACTCAGCACCTAACCAAAGAAATGGCCCGTTCATCCTTGAGAACACCTGGTAGAGCAGGAGAGGGCAGGCTGAAAGGTCTCTTTGCTCGCCCGTCCCCCACCCACCCACCCACCCACCCATGTGCCTCCATAAAGGCACAGGACTGACAGTCTGGTTGCTGATGCAGAGAGAGGGCAGGTGCCTGGTGGAGAGACAGCGCTCGCTCAGTCCAGGAACAAAAAAGAGGCTTTGTCTAGCGGGAATACAAAGGGAGAAGCAGCTGCCACGATCCGAGGTGCTCCCTGGTGCGGCTCCCTTTGAGCAATGCTGGGCTGAAGCAGCCACCCACTCGGCCCCCTTCCTGCCGGCAGCACCGTCCCGTGAGAGCCGGTGCAGCTTTGCACTTGGCCGAGAAGAGCCTCCGAAAGCCCCTCCCTTGCTGAGATCCCTCCCGTGCATTTATACCAGCTTCCCCCCACTTGGACTTCTTTAAAGATGTGCTGAGCTGCAACTCCCATCCCCTGCTGCGGCTGATGTGAGTTGTAGTCTGACGTATCTGGAGGGTGCCCACTTGGGCAAGGCTGTTTTCATTGTTTTACAGTGCAGGGTGCTGGTATTGTCCTCCAGCTGTCCCTATTCACCTGTTTTCTAGTACCCATCCTTGGTACAACCATGGCTGTCCCTCAAGAGCATGCTGGGAAATTTAAATGGCGGCTTGCAGATGTGGCAGCCTGGCATAGGGCGAGCAGGACAGGCATCGGTGATGGTCCAGCTGCTTCTGGTTTTAAAAGGCCATGTTGGTCGGGGCGGAGGGGAGATAAAGCACGAAGACATCTAGAGGATGTCAGGTTGGGGAAGGCTAGCTTATAGCTACTTGCTCGGTGGTTCGTTGCCATTCATTCACTAATCTTTTTGGGCTCTGCTGACATTTCTGAACTCTGCAAAAGTTCTAAAAGTTGCAGCTGGAGGTCATACAGCCGGGGACGTTCTTTTCTGCAGCATTCTCTTAGCAAGACTAATGCATGAGCCACCAGCTTGGAGGACTGATTTCAAGAGACTGAAATGGACAGTTATCCTTTTTTGCTCAAGAATTACAAGCCTGGAGCATCAATGCAAGTCTTTAGGCATGGATTTTATATAAATCCAGCTGCCTCCCGTCACTCTGAAATTCACCAGGATTCCCAGAGACTAACAGTTAAACACAGAGGAATACAATGAAATGCATATATCACCAATTGAAATAGAGTAGCAATAAAAGCACCAAAAATTAACATTAGAGGGCTTTAAAAAATAAAAAGTATTTGCCTCACATCAGTCTTCTCCAACCTTGTGCCTTCCAGACATGTTTGGACTGCAACACCCAGAATTCCTAGTCAGTGGCCTTGCTGAGCCCAGCTTGTTGATGCTGCCTCCCAGAACCTGATGTTCTCCAGATGTGTTGAGCCACACAAGAGCTCCTATCATCCCCAGCTCGCCTGGCAATCTGGCGAACAACAGGTTGGGAGAAGCTGCATTAATTCATGGAATGGTACCCTGATGATTCACATCCCCTTTAAAACAGGAAATACTCTTTGGGGAGGAAATTGTGGGTTGCAGGCAAAGGAGGCACCTATCCCTTCCATGACCCACTTCCAGAGCTGCTTTTCCTGTTCAAAAAAAGAGGGCTTTGCTGCAAGCGTTTGTAAGTACATATGAACAGCCTTGCTGAATGGGACCATAACTCCAACCTGTTCAGCATCATCTTCCTCACAGGGGCCAATCTAGCAGTTCATGATTTATTGTTCGGTCCATGAGCTGACCACAAGATTGCAACATCATCGTCAGCAGGCAAAGTCAAACATTAACTTAAACAGCACCCAGAATAAAAGAAAAAGGAAGAAGCAATCAAACAGGAGGCACATAAGGGATATATAAGGTTTAAAACTACTATATATCTATGTTCATTATTATAGGTGAATTCCAAGAGACAAGACTGTAATAATCCTGTTTCTTTGCAAGAAATATGAACAGGCAGCTCCAATAGGTGTACATGGAGTGTATTCAGAGGCGTCCTCCTACATTTTTTGAAGTTGGTTCCTGGCAAGCAGGATCTGGTAAGGGGAGAGAGGCAGATCCCTCAGGCAGCTGGTTTTGCATGCAGTATAGTTCATAATTTGCTGCTGTTGCATTTTTACTGCCAGGGAGTGAGGAATGAGGCACTTGCAGGGTTTTCTGCCTCAGAGACCAGAATAACTGGCCTTTGACTAGCTTTTGTTCCTGTGTGCCTTGACTGGGGAAGGGGGCATATCCCCGTTTGTGCTGCAAGGCCCACAATTGATGCCGAGGGGCAAACAGCCCTCAAACTAGGGTGGCCACTTAGCAATTGCCAAAAGCAAGAGCAGTTTGCATAAAATTTGAATGTCTTGATTGATATATGGATGCAATTTGGGAATAACTGCATATAGAAATGTTAAGCAGATATAGAACATATAGATATTTAAATAGATATTAAATCCATCTCACCTGTGTGGAAGATGGTCACCAGCTGCCTTTCTGTGTGCTACCTGTTCAGTCTGTTGCCCAGGTACTCACTGGAGAAGGGCAACAGTTTTGATGATTCTTACTGTTCCTGCGCCAGGCAAAGACATTCCTATTTTCCAGATATTTTAGACTTTGAATAACATTGAACTGGTTGTATATTTTAGGAAATATAAACAATGGTTTTATTTCTAATGTGCCCGAGTAATTTTATGTCTGTGATCTCTGTAGTTACTGTAATTGTATTATATGTATTTTATCTGTTTTTATTTTTGGTTTTTATTATACTGTATTACACCCACAGAGCCCTAGAGGCTATGAAAGTGGTTTATAAATCTAAACATAAATAAAGAAATAAAATTGGACAGGAAAGTCCCTCAAAAGGAGATCCCTTCAGGATACTTGCTGGCTGTCCTTTAAATAACAGACTGCTGCTGGCAAAAGAGGGCAGATGGGCACCCTGTGAGACACAAGTCACTTAGTCTGCAGTGCACTGGGAAATCCTTGTGCTCTTGCTGAGAAGTATTTGTTTAGCCTTTTCTTCCATCGCTTCCCATCCCACTTTCCTGTCACCCACCCTCTCAAAACGAGGACATGGACCCTGACCCAGCTCTTCCCGCTGATTCCTCTATCCCACAGGAATGGGTCCTTTGGGGGATATGGGTTGAATAGTCAGGAAGCAATGACAGGTCCTGCTTTAAGTCGCCATCTTTTAGATAATATAAATAGTGTTGACAAGTTGAAGCTGGCGAACCGCAGACTTGCTATAAAAATAATGTAGAGCTGGACTGGTGGCGGAACAGGAAAGGAGAGTGTTTGGATTCGATTTTTTTTAAAGTGGGGAAGGGGGAAAAAGGATCCCATGGCACTTGTCATGTTACAAAAGTAATGCAGCCTCATCTATACAAAGGAGCCATTCACTCTGCAGAGAATGGCCTAGTAAATGGCATCAGGGCCTGAGTGATTCCCATTTTTGCTTCTCAACTTGGCTAGAAACAGGGAGACTGCATTGATACAAACAACCTTATAATTCAAAGCTTTGAAGACAGAACACAAAACTCTAGAAGAAAGCATGTGCTCCAGCCGCCAGCAACTATCTGAATTTTCCCGTATGTTCCCTCTGTGTGTGTGTGTCTGGTTTTGCTTTATTTAAATCCTATTTGTGGAACATTGATTAGGGAGCCAGGTTCTGGTTTATTGGCTTACTGGACCCTTTGTGACACAGAGAAGCTTTCTGCTAGATTACTCCTCTGTCCCAGCTCCTCAAAATTGGATACCTGAGGTTTTCCTCTCCACTACGATTAAGACAAAACCAAAACATCTACACAGCCAGAAAGCCTGAACACTCCTCTAGCAGATTAAGGCTACAGAGCTTGAGGCAATCTTGTATTCCTGGCTCCTCCTCCCTCTTGAAAGGTTGAAATGCCTCTCCCAAGGCTTAGTGGAAGGCAGCAAGAACTTCAAGCTACCATATGCTGGTGTTTTGGTCCTGCCCATCACTGGAATGCTGCCTTGTGAGGGCTTCTCTGCAATGGAATGTGGTCCTTGCAGGGAATGCGTGTTAACACCCTCGGAATAAGCTGACCCAACAGCAGCGTCTTGCCGTATTTCTCTAATGCTCCTTTCCATTTTTGCTCTGGAATCAATCTTTTTTTTTTTTTTTTTTTGCTAGTTGGAATCAAAATGACGACGGTTGCACCAGTGCCTGAAAATTCCTCGCCTTCAACTAATGTGACAACAAAATCTCAAGAACAGATTCTTTATCAGAGTAAGTTGCTGATACTTTGTGGTTCCTGCATCCCGTGTGTTGTGAAATAAATACTGTGAGAGCAGTCATGGGGGTTCCATTTGGCCATCCTACTGTTACACATGGAGAGGGGAAAAGGGTCTGTGGGAGACATGCACAAGGCAGGAGCTATCCCTCTCTGACTGTGAACTTCCAAAGGCATGTTGTTGGCCAGCTGATCATGGAAAGGGACCTCATAAGCGTCGGCAGAAGCTCAAGCAGGATCTCCTGGTAGCCCTTCGCGTGTCCATGGCCCTGGCTTCAGGCACTACTGATTTGACAAGAAAATGGTGTTCTCCTCCTCAGTTGGGCTGATTTCTGGTAACTCCCATGAGGGTCGGCCTGGTGTAGTCTGCTGGGGGCAGCAGGCTCCACCCCCGAGTCACCGCTGTGCTCCACCTGGCCTCAGGTACTGGGCGCTGAGAGCACCACCCAAGTAATTCTACACTGCTGAACGGGACTGGTGTCCCCTCGCAAGGGCATGGCCTCTCTCCAGGGCAAGCTTGCCCAGGACCCAATTTCCAGCAAGTTCTCACGTCAGCCTCTTGCAGCAGAAACAACAAAGCATCTCGGGGCTTCTTAATAGCTAACCTAACAGCAGAATTCTGGCATCAGCGTTCATGGATTCTACCAAAACGTGTGCTGGAATAAATTTCTTAGGCGCACGAGGCTTTAAGGTGCCGTAAGACTTTGTGTTCTTCTTCCCACTCCCAAGTTTTCTAGCAGCACAGCCTGGTCTTCAGGGAGAGAGCAAAAGGGGTGTGATGGCACCAGTACTTCAAAGGGGGATTCGACAGTTTTGTTGCAGGTCATGGGGCTCATCCTATGGTTAGTCCCTCGGGTCCATGGTGGTGGTACTCCAGAGGCCGGGGCACATGGAATGGAGAGTGCTGCCACTGGGGTCATGTTCTGCTGTGGAATTTCCACAGGCAAGTCAAAAGTGGACCCCATGGCTCTCCATGGCACCTGAAAAGACATTTTTAAAGATGGCCTTTTAGAGGAGCGACCGCCTATGAAGTGCCCAAGAAGCAGCAGCACATCACCGAAAGAGAGGACTGAAGGGCTGGTGATCTGCATAATACTTGCACATGCTAATTGTGTATAGATGCAAAGTCAGAAATTCCCATTAGGATTGAGATAGAAATACAGACCATCTGACCATAGCATGGAAGATGGAGGCCAGGTGGGCTGTGTGCCTACCTGCTCTGTCTGCAGGTGCTCTTTGCAGATGGTTCTGATGTTTGCCTTTAAGTTGGAAGTGGGCAGGGTAACCCTTCAAAGGGAGGATGCCTCCAAGTAGAGACGCGCTCCCCCCAACGTACTCTCCCTGTGGGAAAGATCCTGATAAGTGGCTGTAACAAGCATTGTTTATCGTGATTGTATCACCTGCTAGACTACCTTGGAAGCCCTTGTATTTGGAAAAGCAAGGATATGAATAATTGCAAGACATAAAGAAGGCCTATTTGCCAGTCCTGAGGTTTCTGTATCACAACTGTAGCATGACTTGTTTTTCTTTTGGATGGTCAGGAGTCCCTGGCAGAGCTCCCAAGAACCAGTCCACATAGCTGAGGGGGTGTTTGTTTTTCTCCAGCAGCCGCTGGCCCTTGTGCTCCAGGGCAGGCTGCTTTTGCAACTGAAGCCTGATTCAAAAGACGTTTGTGATTTGGCAGGGGTGTTGAATCCTGCTACTCCACACGTCTGAAATACTAAAAGCCAGAGAAAATAGAAGGCTTACTTTAAAAACAACACTCGATCTCCTGTACCCCAAGCTCTCAGCTGTGCCAGAGGGAGCTCTTTGATCCCAGGAGTTTGGGTATCAAAAGCTGTTTAGAACCTGGGGCACAGGAAACACATTAATTCCAGCGTTTCATTCCTTGCTTTTCTTTGCCTCACATTAGGCTCCGGAGCCATTGTGGCAGCCATTGTGGTTGGTGTCATAGTTATATTCACGACGGTTCTGCTCTTGCTGAAAACATATAACAGGTAAGTCAGGGACTGGGCTTGGAGCTCAAGCGCCTTCAATTTTCAAAACGACAAGCAGATTGTGCACAGCGCTGGTCGCATCCTGTGGGTGTTCCCATGTGACCTCAGAAGGGGGCTGCAGGGTTGCATTTTCGCGCCCGTGGTGCAGCTGTGTGCGCCTGCGCCACATGTTCTTGCTTTGGGAGGGCCTCCTGTTGAGTCATGCACCCTTCCTGTGGGACCGTCTGCACAAAGGAGAGCCTGTGAGCAGAGAACTATGTGCAACTTAATAGAGAGACCTGCTCAGCTGCCTTTTGGGGTATACAGTCATCAGCTCTCGCTGGCAACATTCATTATATCGATATGCCGTTTTTTCCTTCCAAGGAACTCAGGCTGCCTACATAATTCTCCCCCTCTCAATTTCGTCCTCACAACAACAACCCTGTGAGGTAGGCTGGGCTGAGCGCCTGAGACTGGCCTGAGGTCAACCGGTTTGCTCCATGACTGAGCAGGGTTTCTTGGAGTGTTGTCAGAATCACGTTAAAAGCAGGCCTGTGTGCTGAACTCTCCCAGGGCAGGGGGCACAGTTCCTCCTGTGAAGCTGCTGACCAGATCACTTGTTCGTAAGAGCTGGAGATCCATCACATTCTCTGCCCAGCCTGGAACACCGCACAGGGAAATGGAGACCATGCCAAGACAAGACCAGACAGTTCACTAATCCCATGAGTTAATTACCATGTTTGCTTTGCTTTTTGTAGACACATGAGGACAAAGCGAGAGCTGGAGCCCAAGAATGCGAAGGTCACGATCCCCTCCATGTTGGAACAGAGCGGCCACGGCACGGGCCGTAGCACGATGGTGACATTTGTCCCTGCAGACATCCACCTGCCACAAAGAAGGCCGTGAGACACAGCCACCTTCAGAATGGAAAACAAGAGCAAAACTCCGGCCTACAGAGTCCAGTGGAAGCGCCGACGCAGGGGAGGTCAGGACTGTAATTGGAGTGTCACCAGTGGCCTTTCTGCGACCTCCTATCCACATCCTTTTTTCCTTTTCCGAAGGGAGAAGACAAGACAGATTCTCGGTGCAACTGGGGCCATGCCACGTGGGCACCCCATCCTAAAAGCAGCTTGTTTTGTCTCTGTGGCTACAAACAGGAAGCTGGCAGACAAGCTGGCTCTGGATGCTGGATCCACCATTTTCGGCTACTTTAACTTAGCGTGGCTCTCACAAGCCCTCAGTCTTCAGATGCACGTGGTTCGCCACTGATTTGGGGTTCTACACTGGCAGAAAGGGTTTCCCTTCACCCATGTTGGTGGCAATCAGGTAATGGCGGCTGGCACCTTGCTCTCTGCCAGGGGTGCCAAATCTCAAGCCAAATGAGGCCACTGCAGCCTCCTCTCTGCCTCCAAAGGGTCATGACCCTTTCCTCCAACTGTTGACTGCTTGGTGCTGCCCCCCTTTGCCCCCAGCTCCACCCACCCCTGGAAAACGGCTCCTGAGAGCTTCCCCAGAACTGAGTTCAGCCCTCCATGGAAAGAGGCTGGAGACGCCTGCCCTATGTGATGCTTGTCTTGCTCACTGGGCAGAGAAGTTGCTTTTGCAGAGTCAGAGAGGAGCAAGTGAGGTACCTTTTCCAAATGGCAGCTATAATTGGTAGGGACATTTGCTAACAGACACTGTTCGACTGACTTCCTCCAATGCTGAGCGCCCAACTGAAGGCAAGTTTATCCTTTCAGCAACACTAAGCACTGGTGCTGAATCGATCCCTTGCAGGTCACATGTTGGGGAGAAGAGGAATCCTCCTCCTCGAGATGCTAGTTTTCTGTTGCAGGCAGGCATGACTGGCTTGTCCCTTCCTCCCACCCTCCCTCACTGCTGCAGCTCATATAGGGGGCACGTGAACTGTTGATTTCTTACCGTTCCAGAATGGCATCAACACTGATCTTGCTGAATGCCTGCAGCAACCTCTGAAAGGTGAATTCCCCCCGCCAGCAGAACTGAACGCAAGCAGAGGAGGAGACACATGGACCCAGTCTAAAATGGCAGCCTGCTTGGGGTTGTTCCTCCCTTATTAGGGTCAGCAATGCAAAAAGCCAAAATTAAGCAGTACTTGCTTTGACAAATGAGGGAAAATGTAGATCTGGATTTAGTATGCCATGGGCACAATCCCATACATATTTAAACAGGTGTCGGCCTTTTTTTTTGTCTAACCTTGCATAGGATTGCATCCTAAGTGCCTGTGTCTGAACCTAAAAGTGTCCTTGTGCACGTTATCTTACTTGACTTGACAATCTGCCTGTGCAGCCATGTCATATTTATCCCAGTGTAGTTTCTGAGTCTTTTTTCTCTTCTTGAAATAAGGAATAGGGAAATAATATTTTTAAATTGCAAGACAGCAAAGACATAATGGGATCAGCTGGGTTTTGTGCAGTGCTGATTTTCTGTAACTTAAATAAAGTAGGGGCTCTTTTTAAGTCTGTAAATGAGATTTGTAACCTGCTTCATCAGGAGTGTATTATATCTCTCTTCTGTGAAAACAAAAAATAGCCACACGTACAAATTTAAAAGATCTCAGCAACAGAAAAAAAAGTGATACGAAACTAGCCAGAAGAGAAACTACCAAGTCAAGGATGAGATTAAAAACAGCTTGCGGCTACACAAAGTAACTGCCTGCCCCACACCCTTTAGAGTTCAGGTTTTATGGCAACCAAAATGTCAGTTGACCCAGCTTAATTGTTTTCATTCCACATGGCTGCAGCAAAAGGAGAAATGGATCTGCAGGCCCATTCCATTGCGTTGGCTGAAAGACCAGGTACCATCTGGCTTGTCCCCTCCCTGAACTGTCTCCATCCTGGCTGGTCTATAAAAACAGTTCTGTAGCACCAGTAATTGCCTTGTCTGTTTACCTCATCCCTCCCCATCCTCTTTTCCTTTGTTTGTGTCTTTTAGATGGTACGTCTATGTGCAGGAACTGTCTTGTTTTTATTTAGGTACAGCACTTAGAAAATTTTAGGAATTTTATACATTATAATAATATTGGTAATACATAAATAAATAGTTTGTCAGTGGCTCTCAAGTTTCCTCAATAAAGCTTCCATTCCCAGAGGAGATTCCGTAACAGATTGGATACGCCTTCAACAGGCACTCAGTTGCTCTGACTCTGAGCTGCAGCCATTTCAAAGAAAACCCTAACGCAGTGCTTTCAATTAATAGCAGCCATCGGGGAGCTTCCATGGGGTGGTTCGATCTGCATCCTCTCCTGACTGTAACATTTTGGGAGGTCAGAAATTCCCAGGATGAGAAAGGAATGCTCCCCAATTGGCAAAAACACCCAGAAACGCAATGTATCCAGTGCTTTCTTACAAAGGTTTCCAATGAGTCCAGACTGTCGTTTGCTCTGTTGGAGAAGGGCTTAAATGTGCAAAACTTTTTTTTTTTTTTTAAATGAAAAGCCTTTTCGAGGAAGATTTTGCCATACGGGGACAGGAAAACCTTTTGGCTGTGCGCACATCTGGCAACGTGGAAATGGTCATGGGCACAGCCACAAAATGGCTGCCGGCCCGCGAAGAACAAGTGCATGACTGTGTGTAAGGCAGAGTGGGGTCTGAGCCTTTGAACCCACAGCTTTTACGGCTGCCTGCTGTTCTCCTGCGTGGGTGTGCTGCAAGGGGAAACACTGCCATGCAACCCTCCCCGGCCCCCCCTTTCCTAAGCACATCTCTCAGCATCTTCGTGTCATTCCTAAGAACTGAAATGGCAGCAGCGGGAAGCCCTCTCATTGTCTCAAAGCTACTGCCAGGAAGAAAATAGGTTTTGCTTTGAAGTGGGAGGGGTGGGGGGGGGGACATGGACACCGTGTCACTGGGCTCTGCTTTAGTGCATTATAGCACAAGGGCTGCAACAATTCATATTTTCATATTTCCATGTCATACTCAATTGTAGCTAGTCAGAATTATCATCTCAAGACCCGTTCCTTTAGGTGCTGGCTTTGGAATCCTAGGATCTGTAAAACTTTTTCTGCCTAAAGATGCATTGCATTACATCCTACGTGGACAACAGCAAACATGCATCCTATTTCCAACTCAGTGGTAAGTACCACCACATAGGGTCAAACAACTTCATTCATGCACAAGCAGAAATATCAGCAGGTTCAGAGAAATTCTAAGCTTTGCAGAAATTCAAAAGTATTTATGAAAGAAACCCCTAACATCCTTGTCCACCAAAAGACAAAACACCCCAGTGAAAACTGAACATTCTTAATAACCACAGAATGCCAGCTGATGGGGCAGGGGGGAGACAGAAAAGCAGACTGTGTGGGAGAGGAATGTAATGGCATCTCCTGAAAGAGGGCGTGCCTGGCCTGGCGGGAACACTGAACAGAGCACTCCAAACTACAATATTTTGTGAATGGTCCAATGTCTGTCCCATAAAAATACAGATTTTAACACTGCAGTTTTATCTTGTGTTTCCTTGGATGTGACTCCAATTGGTTTTAATGGGACTTGTTCCCTAGTAATCATGCTTGGAATTACACCCTAAATTCAATCCATGGAATATGAAATATAAATCACCCAATTAAATGTTCTCTTTTAATATTAATTCCTCAGAGTTTCAGATGCTTTTAAAACCTTCAGTTCTTCACAAATCTTGAATTCAGCCACTTGCAGATAATACAAAGCCATTCTAAATCTTATCCTTTTCACTTATTTCCCCACATTATTTTGAAGCAGGTTCTCCAGACGCAAAAGAACTCAGCAAGGGGCTGTGAGGTAGTGCTGGATAAGCCAGTATTTAAGTCTGTGGTTTAAGTGCACGGGCAGGAAGCCAAATGCCACACTCAGCTCTGGTCCTGCTCTGTATGGTGCAGAAATGTGGAATGTGCACAGACCAGCCGGCAGCTCTGAAAGGCAAGTTTCATGACAGCTCTCATTAATGTTTGCTTGTTTCTTTCTTTCGCTCTTTCCTTCTTGGCTCATGACAAACCCTTGTTCACACACAGACACAATACGTTGGCAGCCGCTGCACAAGTTTGGTATTGCAGGAGTGGGTGGGCAATCGCCCAGCCCAAAAATTTCACCAGGCCCACGAGATACAGTTGCACAGTAGCGGCATTGTTTGCTTGTGGTGTTGGACGAACTCTTTATCTCCTAAGCTCGTGTGTCCATGTATGTGGGGGCAAAATCAGCTACATGGCAAGCAGGGTGCAGCAGATGGATACTTTCACGCAGTCTTTGGTTATAGAGAGTTCTGTCCTGCCTGCCCTTCAAGCTGATTCCCAGGTTGGCTTGCAAGGAATCAAACAGGGAAAAGGCGCGTACAGTAGACAGAGAAATTCTAACGGATATCCAAGGCTACAGAAACTACTTTCCCCAAGGACCTGCTGGGTTTATAGCAGAAGGGATGCATGAGCAGCATTTTTCCTCTTCCGGTTCCTACGGTTTATTTATTACATTTATATCCCACCTTTCATCTTCTTGCAAGGAAGCCAAGAGAGTGCCTTTCTTTTTCCCCTCTCCATTTTATCCTCACAACAATCCCACAAGGTAGGTTGGGCTGAGAGTCAGGGACTGGCCCCCTATGCTTCCTGGCTGAGTGGAAATGAGAACCCCAAATTCTAGAGTCCCGGTCTGGCCCTGTAAGCACCACCACACCCTTGCGCTCTTTTCCCCTTTTATGAGTGACTTTCTTTTGGTTATAAGGAGAAGAAAATCATATATGCCAGAAAGTCGTCAGTTTTTTCCCCCAAGTTCAGTGGAGGAAGGCTGTGAATCCAACCCTTCCCTTGATCTGTCCCCACATGGTTACCTTTTTTGCCTCTATCAGTATCGGAGTACTAATACTGAAAAGGTGAGTGCCAAAGAAACTTTCAGGGCGCCACTCCAAGGTTGGACCTCCTGTCTAACCTTGAACAGGGAGAGCTGAAGCATTCCAGGGCCAGAGGAATTTCTCACATTTGCATTACACACTAATTTATGAATAAACTGATTTTAATCTCACATATGAAGAAAATGACAGTTTGGACATATCTTGCCCTTCCAAAAATTCCTATCCAATCTTTTCCTGGAATATATCACCTCAAGGTGTGGGTGAAGGGTTGCATGTTTGAATGTTTTAAGGCCAG